GATGGTGACGAGGCTGTCGGAGTGATGGTGATGAGGATGTCAGGGTGTTGGTGACGTGGATGTCGGGGTGATGGTGACGTGGATGTCGGGGTGATGGTGATGTGGATGTCGGGGTGATGGTGATGTGGATGTCGGGGTGAGGGTGACGTGGATGTCGGGGTGATGGTGATGATGTCGGGGTGATGGTGACGAGGATGTCGGGGTGATGGTGACGTGGATGTCAGGGTGATGGTGACGAGGATGTCGGGGTGATGGTGACGAGGATGTCGGGGTGATGGTGACGAGGCTGTCGGGGTGATGGTGACATGGATGTCGGGGTGATGGTGACGTGGATGTCGGGGTGATGGTGATGTGGATGTCGGGGTGAGGGTGACGAGGATGTCGGGGTGAGGGTGATGTGAATGTCGGGGTGATGGTGATGAGGATGTTGGGGTGATGGTGATGAGGATGTCGGGGTGAGGGTGATGAGGATGTCGGGGTGATGGTGATGTGCATGTCGGGGTGATGGTGATGAGGATGTCGGGGTGAGGGTGACGAGGATGTCGGGGTGATGGTGATGAGGATGTCGGGGTGATGGTGATGTGATGTAAATACAGGCAAACATGCATCAAGCCTCATCTTCGAGCTCTGTGCCCTTTGCCGTCTCTAGGCTATAGACGCCTCACTAAAAAAAGGGGAAGAGAGACAGGAAGGAGGGGAGGGAGAAAAGAGGAAAGGAGAAAGACAGACAGACGAAAATGGGCTATGGATTCCGGCTACTCCCCAGGGCTGTGTGAGGACTGTCCGTAAAACACAGGCTGCCCGGGCAGGGCTGTCTGCCACTCACTGAACTCTGGTAGACGGCATCGTGGTGGAAGTCCAGGCTCTCGGGGCCAAATCCTGGCTCTGCCACCTCCTGGCCGACTGACCTTGGCCAAGGGGCTTTGCCTCCAACAGCCTCGGTTTCCCCAGATACAGGACGGGGGCAACCACAGACGTGGCGCGACCTTCGTAAACAGTAAGTGCTCCATAAATGTCCACTACCTTCCCTGCTATTATTCATACCAGTGTTTACTGAGTTGATAACAACAGGTATAGCAACAGTGTCCAGGGTGCTGTGGTGAGGATTAAATGTGTTCACGTGTGGCCCGGCCGGCGTGGCTCAGTGGTTGAGCGCCGACCTATGAACCAGGAGGTCATGGTTCGAGTCCCAGTCAAGGGCAAATGCCCTAGTTGCGAGCTTGATCCCCCGTGAGGGGTGTGTAGGAGGCAGCCGATCAACGATTCTCTCGCATCATTGATGTTTCTATCTCTCTCTCCCTTCCTCTCTGAAATCAATAAAAAACGTCTTTAAAATAATCAATACATAAATGAATGTGTTCATGTGTGTAAGGCGCCGAGCACCGCCCTGGTAAGTTCCAAGGCCCGAGTAAAAGCTGGCCTCTCTTATGACTAATCAGAGGAGACGTCCCCGTTCTGGGCTCCCCGCTGGTGGGCTTTCCCAGGTCGTATCTCATTGAATACGCAGGACTAGCCCGGGTTTGATAGGGGTTACTTTGTTCTTTTCACAAGGATGAAACCCGATGGCCTGGCCAAGGTCACACGGTCACGAAGAGGTAGAGGCAGGATCTGAACCTAGAGCCCCGGGAGCCCAGTGCCATATTCTTTCCGTGGAATGACACGGGGTGGGACAGGAATCAGTGAAAAACCGAGGGGCAAGGGGCGCCCAAGCAGATGATGCAGGTGTGACCATCTCACTGATAATCGTCAGGTGCTCACCCCCACCCACGGCCCCAATAGCCACAGGGCCTGGAGGCGCTCAGGGATTCACTCCCTTTGTGCCCCCAAAGCCTCCCTCTGCCGCCACCCGCCACTCCCCACGCGCGCAGCAGCGGACTCCCCCAGGAGACGAGGGCTGAGCCGCCAGCACGGAGCAGGGGTTCACCGTCTCCGAGACGGAATGAACGGGGGAGGTAACCAGCGGAGCTGGTGGAGTGGGGGGCACATTCCAGGTGGGGGGACGCCAGACAGCGTCAGGGAGTCTGCGGATGGCGTGGGGGGTGGGGGGGGTGAGCCTTCGCCATGTAGGGAGAGGAGAGAGGAACTGGGGAGGTGTGTGGGGAGCGTAGGTGGAATGCAATGGAGGGCCTTGAAATTCTCGGCTGAGGCGTGAGTCCGATGACATCGATGGAAAACAATTTTATTTGCTTTTAAAAGAGCACTTGAATAGTTCGGATTCCTGCCCAAAGTCCCTGACCTCCGTGCTTCACAAGTGGGTTTAATGGAAACTTACACAGCAGTGAGGCCCGAAGCAAGGGCTGGGGAGGGAGGGGGAGGGGAGAGACGCAGGTTATGCAAGAGAGCTCTCGGAGTTTGACACCCTGACCATTCCAGGTGCCAGGATGCCCAAGAAATCAGCCCTTCGCAGACACCCAGGCCGGCCCCACGCCTTCTCCACGGCTGCTGCGCTAGGACCCTCGGCCCCTCTGCCCTGGGTCATCGCCAGCCTCCTCGCCTGGGCCCTGGCCTCCGGGGTCACCTCTTCCTAAGAGGTGAGCGTTAGAGGCCTGAACCTGACCCTGCCACTGTGCTCAGAGGCCTGCTCCTTCACGCGACTGCCGTGGCTCTCCACCCGGCCCGGCTCCCGGGCCAGGACCCAGGGTGGGCCTCTGGGCTCGGAGGGAGAAGTCAGCTCCTCCTCCTGTTAAGCTACTGGCCTCCTCGCTCTGGGCCTGCCAGGGGGGCTGCGAGGACACGGGTCACGGTAACCTGCCAGTCCCCATGGGGCGGGCGGTGGCCTCCTGGAGTTCCGGCTGCTCGGCCACCTCACCTGGAGGGAGCATCCAAGTCCCAGTCAACTATTCTGACCGAGAAGCAGCGCTGCAGGCGCCCAGGGAGCCAAGATGCTCGGGGCGGAGAAGGGTGGGAGACAGGCCCGGCGATGCTCTGGCTCCGCCACTGACTAACTCACTGACTGCGGTGTTAGCCTCCCGGTGCCTCAGTTTCCCCAGCTGTAAAGCGGGGCTAACGCAAACGTAGTGCCCACTTCACGGGGTTCTGTGAGCCCGGATGAGCTGCTCATCGTGAATGGCTCACCTGGGTGGCTGGCACCCGGCCGCCTACGATACACATTCAGAACTGGAAAATTATGAGGTCTTGTATCATGCTACCAATTGTCAACGGAGAGTTCCGGCTGCTAGTTTCTTATTACAAATCCTCATCAGGTTAATAATTAAGAGTGGCCAGAGCCTGGGCAGCCAAAGGCTGGAATGTTCCGTGGCCACGTTCTCCGAGGCGGGGGGAGGGGGAGCGGGGGGTGCTTGCTGCCCTGGAAAGTCAGGCCTCAGAGCACCCTGGGGGGCCCTTTCCCAGCATAATTAACGCCTGTCCAGGGCCCAGGTCGGAGTCCAACCACCCAAACAAACAGGCCCTCCTCTCTCCCACCGGCCAGGCCAGAATAGCGTCTTATGTCACAGATAACCGCAGGCCAGGCTTGGAGCGGTGTGATCCAACCCGCGGTGACCTCATTTCCGGGGGGGCGAAGGGGGGCTGACCCACTGCGGTCACACAACTGCCAGGGAGGGCCGGCTGCTCCGAAAAGGAAAAGAATGGCGACGCTCCGTTCTCCCGAACTGGCAGGGCCCCCCAGGGGTCAGGCGAGCTTCCGAGAGAGGGAAGACCCCACCGGAGCAGCCTTTCCCCTCTGGTTTCTCTGTGTCATCCTGCGGACTCCCTGTGGGCAACTTGTGTACTATGGTTACCTGGCAACGGGAGTGAGGGGCCGTAGGGTCACTGCAGGCCCTGAATGGAGCCTCGGCCCCGAAAGGCCTCTCTTCTCATCCCCACTTCCCTCCCTCTCCAGCCGCTCACACCGCGAATGGGAAAGTGCTCGTGGGCCCAGGGCCGGACGCGGCGCACACTCGATGAATAGCCTCTTGTCTGGGCTCTTCCCTCACCCTCATCTGGCTTCCTCTCCAGGGACCTGGTGGGACCGGCGCGTCCAGGGTGCCCCCAGGAGCCAGGAAGAGGAAGTCGGGGCGGGCGGGGGGCGGGGGGAGGGCAGGGCGGTGGGAACACTGCGCTCCTGGGAAGGAGAGCCCTGCCCTGGGTACACAGGAGCCGTCCAGGCTTGCAGAGCGGCCCTTCACCCAGCAGCCGGGGCCCCACCTGCTCCAGACGCGTCAGAGCTCACCTGCCGGGCCCCCTGCCTCAGCAGCTGCCTCGATGGGAGCCGGAGGCCAGGGGGGCGCGGGGCGCGGTTCTTAACTCAAGGGAGGGGACGAGGAAATGCACCTTCAGGGGGACTGATCGTGCCAGGTGCTGAGCGCCCTACAGCCGTTTACTGTTACCTGGGGGAAACGTGAAAGGAGTAAATGCAAGGAGAGACGGGCCTACTGATATCAAACGTTACACTCGGTCCTTTCAGGAAAATACAGGCAAACCTCGGTTTATTGCGCTTCTCGGGTGTTGTGTTTGTTTTGTGTTAATATTATTTTTACGGATTTCAGAGAGGAGAGGGAGAGGGAGGTAGAAACATCAATGATGAGAGAGAATCATTGATCAGCCGCCTCCTGCACGGCCTCCTAACTGGGGATCGAGCCGGCAACTCGGGCCTGTGCCCTGACTGGGAATCGAACCGTGACCTCCTGGTTCCTAGGTCGAGGCTCAACCACTGAGCCACGCCGGCCTGGCTTTGTCCTGTGCCGTTTTCCACCACTCTGTGAGGGCCCCTGGGCTAAAGAAAGGATCAGGGGGGCAGGGAAGCGGAGTGGAGGGCAGGAATACATCCAGAAGCAAGTTAAGGGGAGGCGAGGCCAGCGGGCCTGCGGGGCCACCTCCTCGCTGCATGACTGTGGGCACGTCCCCGCCTGCCTGAGCCCCAGTCTCCTCACCTGTGGGGCTGTGTGAGGCTTAAAGGTGGTCATGCTTACACGGCAACACGGCCCTTCTGGGCCCAGCAGCTGTTTCCGGCTTCCCACTGTCCTGTGGCTGAGCGGGAGGCGGAGGAAACCGAGACGTTCCACGAGTAAAAGAGAAAATTCCGGTGCTGGACGGAGGAGCGCGCGGCCAGGGCTTAGCCCCGTGCTGTCTTTCTAGGTTGTCAACACGGAAACAGAGGCCTAGAAGCCTCGAGCCCCTGGCCAGGGCAGGAAGCTCCTGGGGCTAATTCCCTCTCAGAGGGGCGTCCGACGGGCCGTGACTAAATCATTCCATCGGCATCTGTGCTGCACGCGGCCGGAGCACTTACTAGGAATCGGGGATGGATCCTCGGTGCGTCAGCTGCTGCCAGGAAGCCCGCATCGACGACGCCTCAGCGCGTGGGCCCGGGAACAGGGCCTCCCGGGGTCAGCAGCCTCGCCCCCTCGGGCGGGAAGCAGCTCCCTTTCTCCGAAGCCTCCCAGCTTCAGCATCCAATGATGCCGGGAGGAGTCAAAGGGAAAAAAAGCTCTAACTTTTAATCCCGTGAAGAGACAGAGGAGCGGCGGTGCCAGGGCTTGGAAAGAGAGCTGGGAGGCCTGACGTTTCTCTCGGGGTTAGAGCCCCTCCCCCTTCTCCTCTGGGGGCGCTCTGGGACGCGCCCCCCCAAAGGGGTAACTTACACTTCTGTGGTTATGAATCCGGTGAGCTCCGAGAGGAAGAGGAAGAGGATGAAGAGGCAGCAGCAGACAGAGACTGCAAGAAACAACAGAGACGCACAATAAGGGTGGAGGCCACACGAGGGAGGCCATATCCTCCCCCCCGCCCCGCCTCCAAGGAAGAGCTGCTTAGAGGGAGTGGGAGAGACCCCCCTGCATACCCTCAGCCCCTTCTTAACTCTTTTTTTTTAAGAAGTGATTTTATTCCTCTTGCTTGGTATTTTTTTAAAATATATTTTATTGATTTTTTTACAGAGAGGAAGGGAGAGGGATAGAGAGTTAGAAACATCGATGAGAGAGAAACATCGATCAGCTGCCTCCTGCATACCCCCCACTGGGGATGTGCCTGCAACCAAGGTATATGCCCTTGCCCTTGACCGGAATCGAACCTGGGACCCTCCAGTCCGCAGGCTGACGCTCTATCTATTGAGTCAAACTAGTTAGGGCATTACTCTTTTTTTTTTTACATAAAAATAGTTTTTCTTTTAGAGAGGAAGGGAGAGGGATAGAAACATCAATGATAAGAATCACTGATTGGCTGCCTCCTGCACACTCCACACTGGAGATCAAGACTGCAACCCAGGCATGTGCCCTGACCGGGAATCGAACCGTGACCTTCTGGTTCATAGGTAGATGCTCAATCACTGAGCCACGCCGGCCGGAAGCCCCTTCCTACTCTTGATCTCCATATGAAGCAACCCCACTCCCAAAAAGGCAGATTGATACGACGGATACTGAGCCTACAGCTCTGGTACTGACCTGACCCTCCAGTGTGGACCAACCCCCTAACGGGCAGCCCCTCCGAGGGGCCAGCCCAGCTTTCTTCCGCAAGAGCCATTTAACGCAGAGGTCAGTCGGAAACACAGGTAGCCAGGTGGTGGCCACCAATGGGTTGCTTGGCTTGAGCGGTACGTACTTTAAAATACGGAGGCGGCATCGAGCAATCTGGACGTTGCGTGTCAAAGTCCAGCTTCTGGCTACTCCAGAGCACTTAAGCCCTGGACCCACATGGGGTCTGAGCTCATCAGTTTGCCACAGGCCCCGCTGCTCCCTCTTGCCTCCCTGATTCCTCGTGTCCTTGCCGGTCACGGGAGCACAGACGTATAAATCCTTTCTTTCTCTAAGCAAACGGCGGTGCAGGGGACACACCCTCTGCTCACCCAGCAATCCAGTCTAAGCAGGTGCCACACCAGTTCATGCACAGTGCCCGCGTGTGATTGCTGTTATGGCCTGGACGTGAATTTCAAATGCCTTCTCCCGCTGCTGAGCAATCCACTGCAGGGGACAGTCCGAGGTTCAGGGCTCCCGTCCACCCCTTCTCACCTGCAAACGGCAGCGAGGACGCGGCCAGGAAAAGAACCCCAGCGAGCGGGCCGAACGCCGCCTCCTGAACAGCATCACCTCACAGGGCACCCACTTTTCAGAATCGTTTGCACCCTTAAGCCCCAGCACCCATGGGATGCTGCCACGATGAACAAGCCCCAACAAGCAGGCGTTTTTGAAGGTCAAGGCTGACTTAGGTCTGTCCGGGTCTCCTAGCTGCCTTCCTGGCCTCCAGCCTGCACAACGGGCCCCACGTCTTCCCTCTGTCCAGGCTGGAGGTGGAGTGACAGGGCCGGCAAAGCCTCTTGCTGAGACCTGCGTGCTTTGTTCAAGGCTCTGATGAAGCCTGGCCAAGCCGTAGGTGGACACACCAAGGGCCCAACGACCCTGGGTCACCCGAGCTCGGTGTCCACTCCCCGGCCCCCGCCCCCCGGACCGGGAGGACAGAGACGGGCTCCCGGCACCACGGCGGCCTCGGGGTCTAGCACGGTGCCTGCCTCCGAGGAGCTACGCAACACATCTTTGTTGAATGAATGAGTGAAAAGTGCGAAGGCTGGACGAGGGCTTTTCAATCCATGTTTGGGCAAGACGCTACGGCTCTCCGACTCCAGGCTTCTTCTGAGACTGACTCAGGCACCGGCAGGAGGAATGTGACCCCGGGAGAATGCTGGCCAGGGGGCAGCCAGCCAAGGGGACACTGGACCTGAGACCGAGACGCCGGGACGTCAGTGAATGGTCCAAGGCCACACGGCCGCTGAAGGGGCGGAGGCGACGCTGAGGCCCGACCCGTGAGTCCCCTGCGCCCTGGCTGGTTTCTCCGGTTATTCATAGCAGTGATCGCGACGTCAGGAAATGTTTCTGCGTCTGCAGCCCCGCTCGGCCGTGCGCTCCTCCAGGACGAAGCCCAGGGCCCATTCATCAGCGTGGTCCCGGGCTTGGCGCGGGGCCCGGCCCCAGGACCCGGTTCACAAATATTTGTCCACTGAATGGTAGCCGAGGGCTGGCTTCCCGGGCCTCGCGCCTTTCCTCCCGCGGGAGGGAACTGCTACCGGGCGGCGCCGTGACAAGGACCGCAGAAGAGACCGCATCTCCGGGGGCTCCGTGGCAGCACCTTCTAAATTCTACCCCACGCAGGCCCTTTGACCCAGTCATTCCTCTTCTGGGAAAGTTACTTTACAGAAATAACCGGACAGGGACACCGACAGGTATGCCCGAGGATGCCTGTGATGGCAATACCATGGCATCAGCCACGTCCACCTCGCAGGCTGGTCACACACACCGTGGGTCACCCAGCTCATGCCATCTGACACAGCTGGAGAGAAGAGCCTGGTGGCCTACTATGTGCTGGGACGAAGGTGTCCGGGACAAATCAGCTGGGAGAAAGGCGGGAAGACGGTGTGCACAGCGTGCGCCCGCCTGTGCTGAAAACTAAGACATACGCACATCAACGCCTCGCTATACTTTCAAAAAAATTCTAGAAGGATACACGCTGATAGTAAACCTACTGACCCAGGAGAGACTGGAGAGACGGAGAAGAGGTTGGAGCTGTCCGCTGCGGGCAGGAAGGGCGCAGGCCTGCCGTGAAGTTTCTGGCCCAGGTTCATGAAACAGCTGAGCAGGGAGAGGAGCGGGGAGAGCAAGCCCCTTTCCTCTCATGTCCCCGAGTATCCTTTCCGTGGGGATCGGGCACAAGGCGTCAATAGCTCCCGCGGTCACAGACCCGCATGGGCCGTGGGCTCCGGAGGATGGCCATCCGTGCACCGAGGACTTAGCATGCCCCCCCGCCCCCCCCCCCCGCCGCCACGTGACAGGCGTGATGTCCTTTCAGCCCCAGATCAGGAAACGGAGACTCGGAGAGGTGAAGTGACCGGCCCAAGGTCACCCAGCTGCTAAAGGGGAGGATGAACGCAGTTCTGCCGGACCCAGAGCCTGTCCCCCTCCCCAGGGGCGTGGGGACGGCATCCTCAGCTTCCCTGAGCCGAGCTGGAGGGAGGGAGAGCTGGGCGGGGCCAGCCAGGGTGGGGGTCCCTGAGGTCACCCCTCACCTGACAACGGCCTGCCCTGGGAGGTCACGGCGGACTCCAAGCTGAGGGTCTGACCCCAGGGGACAGTCCCTGGGGAAGGTCCCTCTCCTACACCAAGCACTGGAGAGGCCTCGGGTGGGGTGGGGGAGGGGGAGGAAGGCAGAGAGGCCCACCGAGTCCCAGGCCAGTCCGGCTCTACCTTCCGCGAGCTGTGAAACATCAGGCGAGCCAGCTGACCTCTCTGAGCCCTTTTTCTCCTCCAGAAAATGAGGCTCCATCATTCCTGCCTGCATAGCACCTCTGGCGTGTTTTTATTTTTTATTGTGGAGTAATACTAGATACAAAGATGGCACAGGAAGTTCCCACACGCCCTCTCCCAGCTTCCCCGTACGTTAGCTAACATCTGGCAGGTTTGTCAAAAGGGCTTAGCTGCCATTGTCCAATACAATTACCGAATAAGCTATCGTCTTGCAGGTTTGTCAAAAGGGCTTAGCTGCCATTGTCCAATACAATTACCGAATAAGCTATCGTCTTATCCAGAGGCCTGTGTCTCGAATCTGCGACAGCTCTTCAGACTGGCCTGCTTGTCAGGCGTCCTGTAAGACGGCCTGTGTCTCGAATCTGCGACAGCTCTTCAGACTGGCCTGCTTGTCAGGCGTCCTGTAAGACGCCCCCAAGATCAGGTGCCCTTCCCAGTGCGTCCCATCGGGGGCTGTGACATTCACATGACATCTCACTGGTGTAGGTGGGGGGGAAGGCTGTGACATCCACATGACATCTCACTGGTGTATCCATCTCTCTCTCTCTCTCTCTCTCTTTAAAATATATTTTTATTGATTTCAGAGAGGAAGAGAAACACCGATGATGAGAAAGAATCATTGATCGGCTGCCTCCTGCACACCCACAGTGGGGATGGAGCCCGCAACCCAGGCGTGTGCCCCGACGGGGAATTGAACCATGACCTCCTGGGTCATAGGTCGACCCTCAACCACTGAGCCACGCCGGGTGGGCCCATTCTCATTTCCTCACAAGCGAGGCACTCAGCCCAGCCCACACTCCACAGGAAGAGAATCGCGCTCCGACTCCTGGACGGGGACGTATTCCTATAGCATTTGCAATTCCTCTGTGAGGAGAGTCATCCCTTCCCCCCATCGGTATGGACTCGTGGACCTTTTCCTGGGGCGACGAGCCGATAATCCCATCGCTTATTTTGCCACTCGCACTGCCCAGCCTCGGTCTCCGGTCTCCCTCTCCCAGGCTGGCGTCCGGCCGACACGCCCCAGCCTTTGCTTCTTCTCCGGCTGCTCTTTGCTTCCTGGCGCACCAGGCGTGCCAGGTTTCTTCTGTACCCTTCCCGCCCGCTCCTGACGTCAGCCACCTCTCCAGGGAACCCTGCGTCCTTTTATTGACGAATGACATTTAGAACCCAACATCTGGGTGAGATTCTTATTATTTCTTTCAATGGTTAAAACCACGTCAAAAATACAACGAGTTCAAAAGGCCTGGAGAGAAAAGGAAGGCTCTTCCTGACCCCTGAGCCCCCGTGTCATCTCCCAGGGCAGCGACTAGGAATGATTTCTGGTGTCCCTTCCGGAAACAGGTGCCGGCATCCCTCACAGGTTAGGGTGAGGACAGAGATGGGACGAGGAGCTATAGGAAGGGCCTGGCGAGATGCCCATCATTTCTTCCCGCCTCCATCTCTCTGATCCTCTGGCCCAGCAGTTCTGCACGGGGAGTGGGCACAAGAGTGGGATGGGGGAGGGGGGTGGGGGATGGGGGAGGGGGGAGGGCGGGAAGGGCTACTCACTGATGGCCCCGGTGTATGTCGGCTGCGTAAGGTCCTTGGGCACCTTCCTGTAGATGTCAAACCTGCGGAGAGCAAAGGGGATGGGGTGAGACGGGCAGAGGGCTGGTCTCGGGCAGCAGGGGTCATGGTGTGGCTGGCGTGTCCCATGGCTCAGCTAACCTCAGCTTTCCCAGGACCAGCTCCGCCAGGAGCCTGCGGGACATCCCGTCTGATGGGCCCCGGGCCCCCACACTGCCCTTATGCTTGTCTTGCTTCCTCAGGACACATGTTGGCACCTGAGAGGACCTTGACCCACATTTAGTTATGTTTCTTTTAAAAAATATATATTTTTATTGATTTCAGAGAGGAAGGGAGAGGAAGAGAGATAGAAACATCAATGATGAGAGAGAATCATTGATTGGCTGCCTCCTGCAAGATCCCAGACTGGGGGGGTAAGCCTGCAACCCGGGCATGTGCCCTGACCAGGAATCAAACCATGACCTTCCACTTGACAGGTGTCAACGCTCAACCACTGAGCCATGCCAGCTGGGCTGGTTCTGTTTCTTGGTTGGTCTTTCCCATCAGAATGTCGCCCTCATGAGGGCAGGGACCTGGTGAGGTCTTGTCACCCCTATCCCATCCCCAGACCCTAGCTTGGGCCTGGCACATAGTAGGCACTCAACAGGAATGAACTGAACCCCAAAGGGCTTCTCTGACGTTAAGGGAACAGGATGCTATGGCGTCACCTCTCCACCTCACCCTCTGGTTTCCACCCCCCACTGTACCCGCTTCTTTGATTCTTAGATTCTTCTTTGTTGTTGTGTTGTTGTTGTCGTTAATCCTCACCCGAGGATATTTTTCGATATTTTTCCATTGATTTTTAGAGAGCATGGAAGGGAGGGGGAGAGACAGAGAGAGAGAGAGAAACATCACATCGATTGGTTGCCTCCCGCATGCACCCCAACCAGGGCCAGGGATCGAGCCTGCAACCAAGGTACATGCACTTGATCGGAATGGAACCCGGGACCCTTCAGTCCGAGGGCCAATGAGCCACACTGACTAGGATCTCAGAGATTCTTCTCCAGTCCAACATAAACCCTGCCAGGACCCGGTCTCAGCCTCAGCTCGGCTTTGGCTGTTTCCTGTGGGTTTCAGCCCCAGGCACAGAGCGGACGCCTTTCTTTCTCAGGGATCCCATCAGCGTAGACAGGGTTGTGGGCGGAAGGATATGGGGTCTGGGCCTCAGACAGGCTTCTTGGGTTTAAATCTGGCCAGCTGTTCAAGACATAAGGCCCCGAGTCAGCTGCCCTGGGTTCAAATCATGGCTGGTCTTCTTCCTCGCTGGGTGACTTTAGGAAAGTAAGTTCCCCTCTCTGAGCCTGTTTCCTCGTCTGTAAAAATGGGGCTCCTACGACCAGACCCGCCAGGCGATCGAGAGGAGTGAGGGACATAAGTGTCGGGCAGGTTTGACACGGAGCATTCACAGGAGGCTCCTCACGCACCTGGCTTCCTCCTCGCACTGGACCCTGGGCAGACGGTCTCGCACACCGCGTTCTACCGATGGAGCTCTAAGCCCACACGCGACGTTCCCAGGCTCTCTGGTTAGAGCCCGGCTTGCTGCTCTGGCCCTGCTGGGTGACGGCTGGCGTGGGTGCCCCGTCAGGGACCGGGAGAGCTGGCGCCCTGCTAACCCAACGCAATGACTTACAAGTCTTGCGTAAGATCTGATAGCTGCCTCCTGTGTGCTCACTCTAACAGCACGTGGACCTGGTGTCCTAAGACCTCAGGGGAGGAACAGTTCCTGTCGGCCGCCAAATTAAAAGGCACCACTTTCTTTCCTACCTGCTCAGCCGGGTGCCAGGGCCCCTAAGGGCGCTAGAAACTGGGGCTGGGAGTGTGTGTGAGGGGTGGGGACCGTGTGACTCAACCACCCATACCTACTCCCCTCCCTTATGCTGACAATGCTCGCCCCTTTCCCGTGAGAGGCACGTGAGAGGTAAGAGCAGGTACTGCAGGGTCTACCTGTCGGGGCTCCCATGTGACTCCGCCACGGTGTGACCTGGGCCACGTCACTGACTTAACCTCCCTGTGCCTCAGTCCCGCCATCTGTAAAATGGGGCAACAATCCTAACCATCTCACAGATTGGGGCTGGGACCAGAGGGATGGGAGCACCTAAAGCACTTAGAACAGGCCGGGGGCCCAGGAAGTGCTATTTGAGTACTGCTGTTACTATTATTGATGCTCATTTGAGTGACATTTATGAGCACCTACTATGTGCTGGGCCCTCTTTCAGGCGCTAGGACATGGAGATAAAATGGGCCCCATATGCCTGTGGTTTTGCAGCAGAGACAAAGGAAATGCAAGGAGAAGGCAGTGGTGCTTCAGCATGGGGTCAGTGTGGGGTCACCCGGGGAATCTGGAAGCTTCCTGCAGGAGGTGATGTCTGAGCAGAGCAGGAGGACGGGAGGAAGGTGGGTGCAGACAAAGAGGAGCCCAGATAATGAGAACAGCTACAGCGGAGGCCACGCGAAGGGTCAATCCCGGTGCTGGTGGCTTCCTTCATTTGCACGTGGTACAGGGAAGGGAGGGAGTGACCGTGAGAGGTGGGAGGCCCTCACAGTCCAGCTTCCTGGCCCAGTGAATACCAGTCACCATCCAGGGCCCACAAGCCGAATCTGGACCTCACAGTTTAAAAACAAATGAACCACCTGGCCAGTGTGCTTCAGTGGTTAAGTGTCGATTTATGGACCAGGAGGTCACGGTTAGATTCCCAGTCAAGGGCACATGCCTGGGTTGCGGGCTCGATCCCCAGTAGGGGGCATGCAGGAGGCAGCCAATCAATGATTCTCTCTCATCATTGATGTTTCTCTCTCTCTCTCTCTCTCTCCCTCTTCCTTCCTCTCTGAAATCAATAAAGATAAATAAATAAATAAATGAATGAATGAATGAATATAAAAAACCATCATCTCAAAACTGGGAGGCTGCTCAGGGTGACAAGGTGGGGGTGGCCCAGGGCAGAGTATCAGAACCGGGAGAGGGTGAGGAGGGAGGGATGGAGGGTGTTACACACAGGGGACTGATTAAGTGAGTGAACACTGTGCGATACGGGGGCAGGGGCCTCACCGTCGGGAGGGACGCACAGCGAGAAAGGCAGGAAAACCCAGTGGCGTGCGCGTGGAGACGGAGGGGTCGCTGTGAATCCGTGATTTTCAACAGACACAATACAGACATCGCCATGTGGATGTACACATGTCACATGGACCTGTATGTCCCAGCTCGTTCCATAGAGAGGGCCCCGGAACTGACAGCCAGAGAGCAATGGACGCCTCTGGCACTCAAATACTGGCTTGTAATGTCATCCTTTACTCAAAGAGACCAGCTTCTTGGAGAAATGGCTCATTCTAGGGCTGGGCAGGGGACACGCACGATGAACTTGGAGCATCACCTTATGTCAGGAAGCAAGAAAGTGGCCAAGGAATGACGGGGACATAACAGGACAAGAAGCCAGCTTAGAGGGGCTCCCACGGGCCAGAGAGAGGACAGCGAGAACACCAAAGCCCATGGCCGCAGTAAAAGACCATAACCCACTGGGTAAGACAGGAAGCCCAGACTCTATAGATACAAAGACATGAATCCACCGGAAGTTTGAGGAGGAACGGGACATTTACGCACCTTCCAAGCACCTCCCCACAAATCCTTGCTAACTACAAAAGGAGAAAGTGTTCATGTAACCTGACTGTGGAGAAACGTGGCCGACATCATAGTAACCAAGTGACTGGGTGTCACCAGTAGGAGACACGTCATGGTCCCCCGCACCATCACGCCCGTGGAGATCTTGCTCCAAAGGCACCACCTCGAATGAATCATGAGAAAACACAAACAAATCCAAACGGAGGGGCAGCTGACAAAACGACGGGTCAGCACTTGTCAAAATAGCAAGGTCAGGAAGGCAAGTTAAGACTAAGGAACTATCAGAGATCGGAGGAGGGGACAGAGAAGTGACAACCCAAATCACGCGGGATGATGTCCCGATTCGGAAAAGGGGCATCAGTGGGGCAATGGATGGGATTTGAATTAGAAACTGTAGGCATCTGACCTTGAAGAGCTGGCTTCACACATGTTTGCCGGGTGTACCTGGTGTTTGGTGGGGTATGTCTTTGTTGGAAGTGGAAGGGGGAGGAAGGCTGGGTGAACAAAGGTCTAAGAGAGGAGGTTAGACCTAGAACAGTGGTTCTCAACCTTCCTAATGCCGCGACCCTTTAATACAGTTCCTCCTGTTGTGGTGACCCCCCAACCATAAAATTATTTTCGTTGCTACTTCATAACTGTAATTTTGCTACTGTTATGCATCATAATGTAAATATCTGATATGCAGGATGTATTTTTATTGTTACAAGTTGAACATAATTAAAGCATAGTGATTAATCACAAAAACAATATGTAATTATATGTGTTTTCCGATGGTCTTAGGCGACCCCGTGAAAGGGTCGTTCGACCCCCAAAGGGGTCGAGACCCACAGATTGAAAACTGCTGACCTAGACCCGGGGTCGGCAAACTGCGGCTCTCGAGCCACATGCGGCTCTTTGGCCCCTTGAGTGTGGCTCTTCCTAAGCCTTAGGAGTACCCTAATTAAGTTAATAACAATGTACCTACCTATATAGTTTAAGTTTAAAAAATTTGGCTCTCAAAAGAAATTTCAATCGTTGTACTGTTGATATTTGGCTCTGTTGGCTAATGAGTTTGCCGACCACTGACCTAGACCAAACTACAGGAGGCAACAGCAATCAAAGGGGTGTGCTCCGGACAGAGCGAGGGATGCGGCTCTGGCGCGAGGCTCCTTCACATATATATTTGACTTTCATGTTCACAGTAACCCTGGCAGACACTGCTACCCCATTTTTCCAGGGAGAAGACAAAGTTTAGCCAGAAGCAACTTGCTCCAAGTCAACACGCCCATGATTAGTAAAGCCAGGATTCAAACCCAAGTCTAAGCCCAGAGGCCATGGTCCTTCCACTCCCCTGGACCTGCGGGAATCCGTTCAGAGCTCAACTGTTGGTAAATTAAAGTCTCAAGGTTTCGT